ATTTTGTTTTTATCTTTTTTCTGATTGATCCCTTTCCAAAGAAGTATTCAGGTATCTGTCTTCAATCTCATTAATTCTGCCTTCCATTGCATCAATTCTACTCCTTTGCCCTTTCAATGTGTTATCTATTTCTGACAATTTAGTATTAATCTTTTGGATTTCTATCTGTAGATTTAGAGTCATTTCTAATTTTTCATTTATTTTGTTATTCTGTTCTTGTATTTTCTTCCAAAATTCTTCTAGGGTGTTGTCTATGTTTTCCTTGGTCTTTCTCTCAATCCTTTGAAGATACCTAAATATAATTCTTCTGAATTCCTTATCAGGGAGTTCCAATGCTGTGTCTTCCTCAGGGATGTGTTTTGGGTCTGTATCCTGGTCCCTTGTTTCTCCTGCTTTATCTTGCTTCTTTGTGTGGACTGTGATGCTCTGTTGTCTGCGAGGCATTGTGTTGTTTTTGTGTTTATATTTAATTGGTGATTATATGTTGGAGTAACTTGCCCACAATTTTTGTTTTCTTTGTATGTTATCCGTACAGGCAGGGTACTGTGCTGTACTCCTCTATTCACTAGTTGACAGCACTTATACACTCACCACCTGTCTCCTTTCCTGTTGTCAACCTCTCATACGTTCTTGCCGACCCTGGCAAACAGAGACTGTTCTTAGGTCCCTGGAATGCGAATGAGAATACTATCACTTGAAAATCCAAAATGGTTGCCAATTGTAAACATTCAAAATTGCTGTGTCCTGGGTCACTTTAAATATCCAAAATGGCTGCCACGTGTAAATCAAAATGGCTGCACCCTCCAGACAGCAGAAAGTCCACTGCTCAGGTTGTCTCCCTCCTTGCTGTTTCCCTTCCTAGTCATAGGCCACCAGCACAGTCATCCCTGCAGCCCTTGGTGACTGGGACTATCTTTAAGTCAATTCTCAGGTCCCAACACCACTTGGAAATATTCAGGCTGTTGGTCTTGTCAGAGTAGCTGATAGTCTGCAGCTCCAACTATGTCTGTCCTCACTGTTTTCATTCAGGCTTTTCCACTATTTGGTGCTAATTCACTTCTGTATAGTTCCTTTCAAAGCTCAGGGTTCCAGGATTATCTCCTGTATCTGTCCATTGGTTTTTCTTTTCTTTGTTGAAGAGGGTCTGTGTCGCTTGTCTGCCTATTCCTCCATCTGACCGGAACTCTCTTTTGTGACACATACATTTACAATGACAAAAATAAATAAATAAAGAGAGAGAGCGCAGCTGCCGAGACTGCTTGTGCGATCTGGCTCCTTGGTCTGGAGGTCTAGGTCACAGTTCCGTGCGACGTCCCAGTTACTGGCCTCCCAACACGCTGAGTGTAAGCTATCTGTAAGGGATCAAGACCTCTAGTAGCGTAGTGCCTAAGGCATCTGACTGCTACCCAGAAGGCTGGCGGTTCAAACTCACCAGCCACTCCTCAAAAGGAAGGTTGGGCAATCTACTTCCGTAGTGATACCGCCTCGGAAACCCAAGGAGGAGTTTCTATGAGTCGAGTCAAGTCAATGGCAGTGAGTTTGGTTTGGGCTTTGCCTTTGTGAAGACTGACAGCCTTGGAGACCCTGTGGGCAGTTCCACTCTGTCCTCTAGGGGCGCTGTGGGTCAGAATGGACTCCACGGCAGTGAGTGTGGTTTGGGCTTTGCTTCTGTGAAGATTGACAGCCTGGGAGACCCTGTGGGCAGTTCCACTCTGTCCTCTAGGGGCGCTGTGAGTCAGAATCCACTCCAGGCATTGGGTGTGGTTTGGGCTTTGCTTCAGTGAAGATAGCAGCTCTGGTGGCTCAGTGCCTAAGGCATCTGACTGCTAACCAGAAGGCTGGAGGTTCAAACCCACTAGTGGCTCCAAGGAAGGAAGAATGGGCAATCTACTTCTGTAGTGATACCACCTTTGAAACCCAAGGAGGGGTCGCCATGAGTCAGATCCGACTTGACAGCAGTGTGTTGTTGTAAGGGATCAATTGATAACAGCAAGTTGAAAGGCTAGGTAGAAACCTTAGGAGGCAGTAAGTTTATGTAAATGAGGAAGGAACAACTCAGAAAATGAGGGGGTAAATGGTTGCACAACTTGAAGAATGTCTTCAGTGTCACTAAATGATACATGTACAAACTGTCCAATGGATGTATGTTTTGCTGTGTATCCTCAACTACAATATCAAAAAACAAACCCAGCCCCACTACCCACTGCTCTGTAGGACAGACTGGAACTGCCCCATAGGGTTTCTTTCCAAGGCTGTCAATCTTCAGGGAAGCAGAGCCCAAACCACACCCACTGCCGTGGAGTCGATTCCACTTACAGTGCCCCTAGAGGACAAAGTAGAATTCCCTCATAGATAGGGTTTCCAAGGCTGTCATCTTTATGGAAGTAGACTGCTGTGGAGTGGCTGGTGGGTTCAAACTGACGATCTTTGGTTAGCAGCCGAAAGCCTTAACCACTGTGTCATCAGAGCTCATCCTACAACAACAACAACAACAACAACAACAATAATAATGATAAAAACCCAACCAATCACAAGGCTGCTCACCCCCCTCATAAGAAGCCTGTAGAAGAAGCCTCTCTTGGGTCTGTGGACAGGAGGACACACTTTCTCTTCCAGGTCAAGTGTAGAGTCTTCCTCATCCCCACTGTCACCGAGGTCCTGGAAACACTGGGATTCGATGATCTGCATACACAGAACAGCCAATGTGAGAGGCAGGTGAGGCATGTACGTGAGCCAGTGACCTCAAGACCCCCTGCATCTGTGCTCAACGTGGCCATGCCAAGGGTACGAGACCCACCTAGTCCCCTTCCCTGGATTCCTACATTCCTGCTTCCTACTTCTTCTCGCGGTAACTAGTGTAGCCTCCTCCCCTAACTGAGTGCACCCCAATGCAGTTAACTACTGGGGCTGTGGCCACACAGCCAGCTCTGCTTAGGGAGTGGGACTTGGGGGAGCAGGCCAGCCCCTCAGACCTCAGATGGCCCCTCTGTCCAGCCCCTGTTCACAGAAGCAGCCCCATGCTTGGGGCTGACCTATGGTCTAGGCCTGTGCTCAGAGATGGCTCATAATTTCATCTCCCAAGAGATCCATATATACTTTAATAAATGTTGTTGTTGTTGTTATTTGCTGTCGAGTCGGACCCGACTCATAGCGATCCCTCCTTGGGTTTCCGAGGCAGTATCACTACGGAAGTAGATTGCCCCATCTTCCTTCCGAGGAGTGGCTGGTTGGTTTGAACCACCAGCCTTCTGGTTAGCAGTCAAGTGCCTCAGGCACTATGCTACCAGAGCTAATAAATATATATGTAAAATAGCTAAAAAGATCCCTTTAGAAGGAAACGCAGTAAGAGGGCCTGCACACACGTCCGTATTCTCTCCCAGAGCCGTCATTGGCTTCGAGCAGGTGAGCTCTGAGGGTAGTACCTCGTTCTGCCAGGGGATAGAGACACAGCCGGTGGCAAATGCAGCGTAGAAGTCTTCATCTTTGGTGTCCAGGTAGACCCCCTTCACGGTGGAGAACTGCTCAATATCCAAGACGTCCTTGCAGTACACGGCGTGAGGCTGGGCACAAGGACAGGCACCCACCATGAAATGGCTGGAGACAGGCTTTGCTTCTCCAGTTACAGAACGAAGGCCTCGGGAACCGGCATGGCCCTGTGCTCTGTACACACACTCCTCAGGGCCACCCTGTCTTTCTCAGACACACATGGGGCAGGGTTTGACAGAGGGCAGGATGGGAGCAGAGCACTAGAGGAAGGATGGACCCTGTTGGCTGGAAGCCTGTTGGGTGTGGGACCCTCAGGGATGGCTCTGTCCTCAGTGGCCCTCCACATACACACCCTACAACAGTCTGTGTGAGGAGTGGAGGGCCTGCTGGGGTGTCCCCCTAGTGTTCATCTGATGGCCTCAGGTGGTGGACAGGCATAGGGGTGGGGGCACAGAAACCTGGCCCTACAGTTCCCACCAGCAAGCAAGCAGGGCACACGGGGCTGAATCTGTCCCCTTCTGCACAGCCCCTGGTCTGTTGGGCTGAGAGGCCCAGGGCCCAGGCGCTGCAGCACGAGATAGCCTGTAGGAGACTCTGGCCATTCTGAGAACACGTCCCCCCTGCAGGCCAGCCCCAGGATGCCACCGCAGTGAGTGGTATCATCGAAGCAGCAACACGCTGCAGGTCACCAGTGTGGGCTTCACTTGGTGCAGCTGCTGTCCATGAACAGTGACCATCACTCCCCACTCACCGTCATGCACTGTGTATGGCGGTGGGAGATGGATGTGACCTGCAGTCCCTGCCCCCATGACCAGAGCCCAGGCCAAGGGCTCAGGACTCTGGGCTGTTCTACACGTCAGCAGCCCAAACCGTCCAATGCAACCTTCAGTGAGTTGTTCTTAGACCTGCCTGTGGACCGGCTGCACGCCGTGTATCAAATTAAGCAGGTCACACAGAAACCGTCGGAACCCCTGCTGGGTGTGCCCACCCTCAGTGCCCACGGAGCATCTCCTGACTGGCAGCTCTTGTCCTGATCTTGCTGGCGGGCTGTTTTACTGCCCCTCTCTGCAGACAACAAGGTCCGGGGAGCAGAGCCCTTGCTCGTCTGGTTCTCTGTTGTGGCCCCAAACTCTACGACCATGTTTGGTAGGTAATGAATGACATATACTAAGACTATAAAGGAAACATCAAAAGCCCCAAAAACAAAAACTGTTTGAAGTGTCCTTAATCCCATCATCCTGCAGTTCCCTGACCTCTGCGTCTCTCTCACAGTCTGGAGTGGATGATAGAGGCCAAACTCCTGCTTTACCTTATTCTTTTGTCAACAGGAATTCCTTGTCTACCAGCCCCTCTGCAGCTCCAGGCACCAGGCTGAGTGCCTAGCAGCCCTGCCTCATTCGACCCCAGCAGCAAGCCCATGAGGGAGGCATATCCGCCCCCCATCTGACACGGGGTTCCCTCTCAGGGAGGACTGGTGCCTGCGGAGCCAGCCACAGCCCCTGACCTCATGAGACACAGGGTAGGGGACAGCAGCAGTTAGGGCTGTGGGATGGGGACGAGAACGCGTGAAGGCCCGCCCTGGTGTGGGACACGGCCCACAGGCAACACCAGCAAGGGGATCGGAGAGGAAGACACAGGTAAGGTGGGGGGGACATGATGGTGCTGGGATTTCTGAGGCGGCCGATGACGCGGCTGGGCCACGGCAGTGGAGGCGCAAGTGCAGATGCGTGTGGCCTGGGGTCTGCTGCGTGGCGGGGGCGGGGGGCCGTGGGTGGGGAGGAAGAGCCCGTCTGGGCCCTGGAGAGCAGAGGCCAGCCCGGGCTCCGGGGGGGTCTGACCTGCTCTGAGAACACGCACTTGCTAGGGGACCAGCTTTCCTGGACACCCTGCCACGCGTGCGGCAGCCTACTTACATCAGGACAGAACGGGGGCTCCAGCATACCGGCCTCCAGCCTCTTGAAGTTAATGTCCTTGAACACAGGATGCTGTCTGACTTCAGCTGCTCCGACCCCCTTGCAGCCCAGCCGCTCCTTTGGGTTCTTGGTGAGTAGCTACAAGCGGCAGATGGAGAAAGGTATGAACTCAGAAAATCCCACAATAATTCCATGGGGTCGGGCGGGAGGGTGCCTGTGTCTGAACGAGCAGGGCTGCTCAGGTCTCAGCACGGCCTCAGCCGCTCACAGTGGACTCACTCAGAACACACCACGGCAGCTGGGCTAAAGTTCTGCCTTTGCACTTTCAATCAGTCAAGAGATTGCTGAGTAAATCCCTAAGAAAAAATGTCTAATCCTGCAAAAACGGGGGGACTTTTTTTTAAGGAAGTGAAAACTGCTGCGCACGTCAGTTTCCACCACAACGCAGTTATGTGTGTAAGTAGAAACCACCTGAGCCCACTGGTGAAACAGGTCACTAAGGGGCTCAGGATGGTCACTAAGGGGCTGGGAGGTGATCACTAAGGGGCACAGGACAGTCACTAAGGAAGAGTCATTAAGGGGCTCAGGACAGTCACTAAGGAAGAGTCATTAAGGGGCTCAGGACAGTCACTAAGGAAGAGTCATTAAGGGGCTTGGAGGATGGTCACTAAGGGGCTTGGAGGATGGTCACTAAGGGGCTCAGAGGATGGTCACTATGGGGCTCGGAGGTGATCACTAAGGGGTTTGGAGGGTGCACACACAGAGCGTATCTCCTTCTGGGAACCACATGCTCTTCCAGACGAAGCCTCTCTTTCACAAGGGTTCCTTGCAAGTTGTGTTGTCTACACGTGCACATTTTCACCACCATTAAGAAGACAAGCATTCCTTGTATACTATTTACATTTGTCACAAACTCCACGTGGCCTTTCTACACAATTATCATCATCGGAAACAGTGGCTGTGTCTAAGGATTCAAACCCCAAAACCAAACCCACTGCTGCCCAGTCAACCGCACCTCACAGCGGCCCTGGAGGACAGAGGAGAAACTGGCCATCGGGCTCCCCACGCCATTACCCTTAAAGAAGCAGACTGCCACGTGGTTCTCCCACAGACTGGCTGGTGGGTTCAAACTATCAACCTTTGGGTTTGCAGCCAAGTGCTGAACCACTACGCCACCAGGGCTCCTTTTACTAAAGATCTGGACCTCTAAGATATAGCCTAGACCCAAACCCCAAACCCACTGCCACTGAGTCAATTCTGACTCATAGCGATCCCCACTGGGTTTCCAAGACTAAATGTTTACAAAAGTAGATTGCTTCATCTTCCCTCAGAGCAGCTGGTGGGTTTGAACTGCTGACCTTCTGGTTAGCAGCCAAATATGTTACCCACTATGCCAGCAGAGCTCCTTCAGCCTAGACCAGGGGTTGGGAAATTATGCCCCAGGCTGTTGTTTGAACAGAACAAGGGGACACTACATGGTTTAAAATCAGGAAGGAAGTGCGTCAGGGTTGTATCCTTTCCCCACACTTATTCAATCTATACGCTGAACAAATAATCCAAGAAACTGGACTATATGAAGAAAAACGTGGTATCAGGATTGGAGAAGAATCATTAACAACCTGAGATATGCAGACGATACAACTTTGCTTGCTGAAAGTGAGGATGACTTAAGGCACCTACTGATGAAGGGTGAAGAAACAGTCTGCAGTATGGGTTACATCTCAATATAAAGAAGATAAAAATCCTCAAAATTGGACCAATAAGCAGCATCATGATAAATGGAGAAAAGACTGAAGTTGTTAAGGACTTCACATTGCTTGGTTCTACAATCGACGTCAACAGAAGGAGCAGTAAGGACATGAGATGACGAGTAGCACTGGGCAAGTCGGCTGCAAAGGACCTCTTTCAAGTGCTGAGGAGCAAAGATGTCTCCTTGAGGACTAAGGTGCGCCTGACACAAGCCATGGTATTTTTAGTTCCCTCATTTGCATGTGAGGGCTGGACAATGAATAAGGAAGACCGAAGAAGAGTTGATGCTTTTGAGTTGTGGTGCTGGTGAAGAATGCTGAAAGTACCGTGGACTGCTAAAAGAACTAACAGATCTGTCCTGGAGGAAGTGCAGCCAGAATGCTCCTTGGAAGCGAGAATGGTCAGGCTTCGTCTCACCTACTTTGGTCATGTTGTCAGAAGCGACCACTCCCTGGAGAAGGATGTCATGCTTGGTAAGGTGGAGGGCTGACGACAGGAGAAGGCCCTCAACGAGATGGATTGACACGATGGCTGCGACGATGGGCTCAAGTATAGCAGGGATCATGGAGCTGGCGTGGGACTGGGCGGTGTTTCGTTCTGCTGTGCATGGGGTCGCTATGAGTCGGAGACGACTAGACGGCACCTAACAACAACCATACACCAGTGCTTGGTGCCCGTGGCCGCCTTTGCTCTGCTGTGACCTCCCCCCACCCCAGCTTAGATTCTGGGGCCCATCACTTAACCCCTCCTCTACATGCGCCCAGCCCCCTTTGCCCGCTCCTGCCTCACCACACGTGCCCGTCTAAACCACAACACAGTCCATCCAACTCCCCACACGCCGGAGCCTGCAACTTTCCCGCGCCAGACTGCATCCACGCCCGAGATCCACGTCCTGTCTCCAAGGGGCCAGACGCTGCCCAGAGCCTCCCACCACCTCCCCCTCCAGTGCCATGCCCTCCCTGGCAGCCAGCTCATGAAGCGCAGAGAGGCTCCGCCCCGCCTGCCCCAGAGGGTGAGCGAGCTGGCTTCTCCCCACGACAGGTCCCACCCTCTCACCTAACGCAGGATTGCGCCCCAGTGGGTCCCCTTCGCCCAAGGTGCTTGTTCCAATCTCAGTCTTGGCCTCACCCTGGGCTCCTCTCCTGTGGGTTCTGCCTCAAGAGACACCCAGGATGTGACCATGTCCCACCAGCTCCTCTGCGGCCACGCCTCCTGACGGCTCTCCTTCCTCCCGTCCCTCTTACCCTGGCAGCTCCTGGCCACCAGCCTCAGTGGTCTACCCTGTGGGGCCTCGGGGCCCTCTGCCTAGGAGGCCCGAGCCCTCCCTTACAGAAGGTCTATGTGGAACCACGACCCCCCAGTCCTGATGGTCCACTCCCCAGCTTTCCAGGGCTCTGAGCAGGCATCATGTCCGATGGACACACGTCTTCTCCTTTGAGGAAGACACCAGGAGGGCAGGGACGTGTCCTGTCTTGCTCAAGGCAAACCCCCAGCACCTAGATGGTGCCTGGTACATAGATGCTCAGGAAATCTCGTGGAGTGGAAACCAGTGAAGAAACCATCACTATCGGTTGAAGATAGTGGTGTGATAAAGGGAGCCTCTCCCACTCACCCTGTGTCTGGGCAGCCAGGGGAGTGGGAGCACTGCCTGCAATGAGACGGATGGGCCAGACCTGGCCATGCCTCTCTGAGCCTCGGATCGTGGATGAGTGTCTCCCACCCCATCCCCACTTCTCACTGTAACACGCAGGGAACAATGCCAAGTTCAAAGGGCTTTCGAACATTGAAAAAAAAGATCCGTGGAGCCCCAGCACAGGGCCTGGAGCACACAGAGCTGCCGGACAAGACCGCTTTCAGCTTCTAAACTGTAAAGCCATCACTCGGAGGACTAAGGGGCGCCTGAGCAGGCCATGGTCTGTCAGTCGCCTCATATGCACGCAAGAGCTGGACAAGGAATAAGGAAGACCGAAGAACAACGGATGTGCTGGGGAAGGGGAGGGAACACACCATGGACGGCCAGAACCAATCAGCGTTAGCAGGAGCAGCCGGAATGCTCCTCTGATGGGAGAGGGTGGGACGGCGGCTGACTTACTCTGGGCGCATCACAGGGAAAGGGCAGCGGCTGGAAAAGGCCACCGTGTTGGTGAAGTAGAGGGTCAGCGGAAACAAGGGAGACCCTCATGGAAGGACGCACACAGTGGCTGCCACACTGGACTCAGACATCCCAACCTCATGAAGATGTTCTGTTGGGCATGGAGTCACCACGAGGCAGAGCCCCGTGACGGCAACTAACGACAGCCAGGCGTTCTGACTATAATCCCTGGCAGTCGGTGAACAAGAAACACACAGATAAAATCAAAGTGAGGAGAGAAAAAGCCTCACTATTTCAAACCTACGTGACATACTGTTTCGTATTTAATTTCTCATCAAAGGAGTCGTGAAACCAGGCTCCTCTATTTTCTGAAAAGAGAATAAACCCTTGGCACCACCCTCCCTGCCATGGTGTCTCGGGAGAAAGCAAACAAGTTTTACTCAGCTTTGTTCTAATGGGTCAGAAAACCAATAGTCATGTTCCCTCTGCCCCAGGACAAAGGCCGTGAGCGTCAGCGTTGGGAAGGGGCGCTGGGTTTGTCGTGACGTGTGAGTCTGAGAGTGTCGATGTCAGGATGGGGAGCTGGGATTGTCATGACATCTGAGCACCTGCCACTGAGCTCACTCTCCTCAATTGGGACAAAGTTTTGCTACAGACCCAGTGAATGAGTGACAGACTGGTGACTGTTTATAACTTGGCAGTGAACACAAGCATGCGTTAGGAGTTGAACTTCCCGACCCGGGTAGAACCTGACCCACCATCTGGCAGATGGACCTGGCGTCCTCTGAAAACTTCTCCGAGTACCGCTCGCTGTCCTGGTTCACTCTGCGATTCACCTCCTCTCGGTTCACCTTCTCTTTGAATTTTCTGAATGGAGAATGTCCCTGAATCATTTCATAAATCAGACAGCCAAGTCCCCACCAGTCAGGACTAAAGGTATAGTTCTCATTATTGATAACTTCCGGAGCTAGGTGACAAATAAGGAAATGAAGTTACATTATGGCTTTAAATTCTCTTGTAATTAATTCCAAATAACACATTAGCAATGTAGCGTCTATGACAACATGCATGAACCTTGACACAGTCTACCATGTACAAGGAGCCTGGCCAAAAAGGCCACACACTGTGTGACTGCACTGTCATGAAATGTTCACAGTGGGCAAATCCACATAAACAGGAAGGGATCCATGGCCTCCTGGGGCCTACTCCAGGTTTGCATGGAATGGGAGTGAGTGCTCACGGTACAGGGTTGATTTCTGGAGTGATGGGACATTCCCCAGTTAGACAGTGCTGATGGCTGCACGGTTCTATAAAAATGCTAAAATCGACTGAATGCTACACTTTCAAAAGATGTGTTTTGTACATGTGAATTACATCTAAATAAAACTATTATGAAGTAATGTTTGTATCCTTCAGAGGGCTGAAACTAACTGCCATAGTGCATGCTAACACGGGGCAAGGGTGTTACAGGTAAGATCTGTTTCCTGAGGAGGGTGTCCCTGCCAAACACGTGGCTCCCTGAGTCAGACTAAAGTCCCCAGAGCAGGAGACAGCAGGGGCTGGGGCAGGGGGCCTTACTGCAGGGGTCTGTAGTGGAGGCCACTCTAAGGGCGGCTGGCACTCCCAGGCACTTCTCAGAGCCCTGATCCCCACACCACGCGGTGTAGGCCCAGGATAGGGGAGGTTCCTGCTCTGAGCTGACTGACCCAAGCCAGGGCCTCCAGCCCACAGATGCTCCAGCGTCACCAAGTAACGCCCAAAGGCCATGTAGCAGTCTGTGTGTGGCCTGGGGACAGAGCAAGGGGACCTGCCATCCCTGACTCTTCTCCGGTGAGCTACATGACTCAGGGACACTGAGCCCTCCTGGGCCTCCATCCCCTCCTCTGCAGAAAGAGAAGGGTGGATGAGGCCATGCTAACACGCTAACTGGTTAAAGGCTCGACACTGCTTGTACTGTCTGACAGGAGGAGCATGGCCAGAACTGGGTGGTACGCTGGTACCCCTCGTCTGGCCACGTGGAGCACTCACACAGACAGGAAGTATGAAGACGGTGGAAGCAATCAATCACGTACCCATGTAACCGACTGTTCCGACTCTTCCGCGGACCGTCCCCCCTTCTGGGATCTCCACAGCTAAGCCCAGATCTGAAATCCGAATGTGTCCTGTGGGTGTCCAAACACATTCCTCATCAGAGTGGGAAGAACGGGGAGACATCCTCCACCCACGGGTGGAAACAGTGCCATTTCACACTTGGACACGCTTCAATTGAAAACGACAGAGAGTATTTCCCCAGTTAGCAACGTACGGTCTGGTGTGGCGTTCCCTTCGAGTGAGAGCCGGAGACCAGAGTCAGGCCTGGCTACCTGAGTGGGAAGCCCCTGGAGCACTTGATGGGACAGCCTTGGGTTTGCAACCTTCCTTTCATATAACTGCCAGGTACAGGACTAAAACCACAATGCAAACAGCCTCAACTAGAAATAACACACACTGTCGCCAGAGTACCAACAGGGAGACACACAGGGACAAAACAAACACGGGGCAGGGATTCTCTGTCTCCGAAGAACACAAGGTAGTTTAGGGAAACAGCAAACAAAATGGAGTTAGACACACAATGCATCCCACGTTTTATATAACGTATAAAGGCGTGCTTATGCACGAGAGGATATGAACATTGGGGAGTGTCTTATTTTTGGAAACAACAAATCACGTGACACGTCCTTTGGGGAGTACAGAGCGATCAACCACCCTGTGGGAGACAACGCTGTTCATCGTCGACACCACTGTGCAGCCTCGCTTCTCCTAAAATGCCCATCAGGTGGCTGGCAGCCTGAGAGTCAATTCTGACCCACGGGTCCCCGTGTACGCACAGCACAGCTGCTCCACTGAGTTCTCATGGCCGTAATCTTTACCAAACAGGCTGCAGGTCTTTCTTCTGAGGCAAACCTAGGTAGGTTCAAGCCACCTACCTTTGAGTTAGCTGTCCAGGCACTGAATCTCTGTGCCCTTAGGGACTCAGCCACATGCTGCTGTTGTCAGGTGCCGTCAAGTCAGCTCCGACTCACAGCCACCCCGTGTGCAACAGAACCAAACACTGCCCAGTCCCGTGTCACCCTCACAGTCCCTGCTACACTTGAGCCCATCACTGCACCCACTGTATCAATCCATCTCATTGAGGGCCTTCCCCTTTGTTGTTGACCCTCCACTTTACCAAGCATGACATCCTTCTTCAGGGAATGGTCCCTTCTGACAACATGACGAAAGGAGGTGAGACGAAGTCTGGCCATTCTTGCTTCCAATGAGCATTCCGGCTGCACTTCCTCCAGGACAGGTTTGTTCCTTCCCCTGTCAGTCCAGGGTACTTTCATTATTATTAATTAACACCACAACTCAAAAACATCAACTCCTCTTAGGTTTTATTCATTGTCCAGCTTGCACATGCATGTGAGGTGACTGAAAATACCACAGCATGGGTTAGGAACAGCTTAGTATTCAAAGAAATCGCTTTGCTCTTCAGCACTTTTAAGAGGTCTTTTGTAGCACATTTGCCCAGTGCGATACAGCATTTGATTTATTGACTGCTGCTTCCACACGTGTTGATCGTGGACATAAGTAATATGAAATTTTTGACAACTTCAATTGTTTCCACTTATCGTGATGCTGCTTATAGATCCAGAAGTTAGGATTTTTGTTTTCTTTATGTTGAGGTGTAATCCATACTGAAAACTGTAGCCTTTAATCTTCATCAGTAAGTGCTTCAAGTCTTCTTCACTTTCAACAAGCAAGGTTGTGTCATCTACATATCACGGGTTGTTGATGAGTCTTCCTCTAGTCCTGATGCCACATTCTTCTTCATATAGTCCAGCTTCTTGGCTTATTTACTCAGCATACAGATTGACTAAGTATGATGAAGGGATACAACCCTGATGCACCTCCTTCCTGATTTTAAACCATGTACCAAGCCCTTGTTCTGTTCAAATGACAGCCTCCTGGTATATGTACAGGTTCCTTATGAGCTCAATGCCAGAGGGGACAACAGAGCAGAACAGCGATAGGGATCCAGGTAAGGGGAGGGACCCAGGCCCCACCCTCAAGAGGCAAGGAAGCAGGGTAAAGCAAAGCCAGAGGGGACGACAGAGCAGAGCAGCAGCCAGGGATCCAGGTAAGGGGAGGGTGGCGAGGTTTCAAACAGCTAAAGGAGACAAACTTGTCTGTCAGTTTGTCATACTGTGGTGGTTTGTGTGTTGCTGTGAGGCTTGAGGCTGTGCCACCAGTGTTTCAAATGCCAGCATGGTTGCACATGGTACACAGGTTTCAATGTAGCTTACAGACTGAGGCAGACTAGGAAGAAGGAAGAGGGCATACACTTCTCAAAGAACTGCCAGAGAAAATCTTATGAATAGCAGAGAAACACTGTCTGATACATTACTGTGCAACTTTATGAATAGCCTGGAAACATTGTCCGACACAGTGCAGACTTAGGTCTGAAGGCTCTCAAAATATGACAGGGAAAGAGCTGCATCATCAGAGTAGAACCAACCTTACTGAAATGGATAAAGTAAGGCTTTTGAGACCTCCATTTGCTAATGTGGCACGACTCAAATTGAGGAGAAACAGCTACAAACATTCATTAATAATCAGAACATGGAATGTACAAAGCATGAATCTAGGAAAATTGGAAGTTGTCAAAAATGAAATGGAACACATAAAAATTGATATCCTAGGCATTCTTGTTGTTGTTAAGTGCCGTCGAGTCGTTTCCAACCCATAGCGACCCCATGCACAGCAGAACGAAACACTGCCCGATCCTGCACCAGCCCCACAATCCCTGCTATACTTGAGCCCATCATCGCAGCCACCATATCAATCCATCTCCTTGAAGGCCTCCCCCTCTTTCGTCGACCCTCCA